TCGTTATTGTCTCAAAATAAAAAAGCAATATCTGTCGATCCCTACTACTGTGCATGTGTGAACCAGAACTTCCTGGAAATGGTCGAGTGCGGATCGCTGTGTGTTCCCTCTGGCAGCAGGAAGCTTGTCAGAACGGTTCCCTGTGTCACCAACCCCGCACACGGCTCAGAGGTTTTCAAGGTAAGATTAGCTGATTAAAATTGCAAGTTATGGATGGAATTGTCTTGCAGAAAGTGGACTGTATGTGCAAGATGGACTATTTGTACACCGTGGAATGCCTCTGCTATACAAGGCTTATTGTATCTGCACTACTCCACTTAATATGGTTCTGGGGCTTATAAATATGACCAAGGTGCTGCAATTTCTTGGGTAAAATTAAGCAGAGAATATTCAATTCTTATAAAGAATCATCAGTGCATCAGCTGCTCTGCCTGAGATGTTCCACAGAGACAGAAGAGAAGCGTTCTTCGATTACTTCTAATGTCTGGCGAATGTTTATCTATCTCTTCTTAAGACGTCTGGTTCATCATACTCTGTGGAGTTGGTTCCCAACTGATGGACTGAGAAGGTTCACTAGGAATGAATCGGTCATGGGGCAGGATAACTCTGCTAAACTCTAATGATGGTTATCTGTTCCACAAATCTCGTGTCTTTCTTATATGCAGAAATGGGAACACTGTAACGGGCCTTTCTTGCCCGGTGTTTAATATGTTCCCATCAAATGGGTAAATGTTACACTCCCAGGTACACTGGGAATCCATAAAATTCTGCAGAAGTAGCTGCTTTAATAACCCGGTCGTTAAGAAGGCTGAAGCCTCTTGCGACAATCTTTCCAGACTGCTGGTTTTCAGAATGGGTCTTTTGCTGGCAGGTGCAGCAGTGTCCAAAACTTATAACTGTTTACAATCACTAATGGATGTTTAGTCTCCTGATAAGCAGCTTGTCAGTTTCCTTTTTTATTTGAATTTCTATTTGTCACATACTTTATATGGATTTGACTAATAAAAGTCGGCCAAGATCATGGGTTTATCTGCTGTTTCCTTTATATCCCGGTGGCTTAAGCTTGGACGGCAGTCTTTTTCAGTCACCTGTTTACTCCCATTAGGGAAAGGGGTATCTCTCTTATAACCTATGTTGAAAAAGGAAAAAAAGTGTTGCCTCAATACATGTAGAACCAGGTCCGACATGCGTGGGCATTTTGGACGCCAAGAATCTTGGATGTGTAGTCCTGCATTTCTATACTAAGTGTGGATTGCTCAGTGGGTTTAGACCTTGTTCAACCCTTGGGTGTTCACAGGTTCATTTGCCCTGCAGGGTTGACATAAACCCATCATCCCTTTTGAGGTAGATGACTGGAGTACCATTCAACGGAGTCACTTAACATTCCCAGGATGCATTTGGGAACCATTATATGTCTCTTGTCTGACTTTTAAATAGAACCTACTTGCAATTACTGGTTTCTTGATCTAGTTAAAGGCACACTAGAGTCACCAGAAGAACTACAGTTTATTGAATTTGTTCTGGTGAGCAGAATCATTACCTTCAGGCTTTTTGCTGTAAACACTGTCTTTTCAGAGAAAATGCAGTATTTACATTACAGCCAAATGATAACTTCACTGGCCACTCCTCAGATAGCTGTTAGAGATCCTTCCTGGGTCATGGCTGCCTAAAATGCATCAAAACATTCAGTGTCTCCTCCCTCTGCATGCAGACACTGAACTTTCCTCATAGAGATTCATTGATTCAATTCATCTCTATGAGGAGATGCTGATTGGCCAGGGCTGTGTTTGAATTGTGCTGGCTCTGCCTCATTGACAGTCTCTGCTAATCCTATGGGGTAGCATTGTGATTTGATCAGGCCACCATTTCTGATGTCAGAGGAAGTTCCCAGGCAGAAGCTTCAGACTTGAATACAAGTAAGGTTTTACTATATTTATGGAGGCAAATGGGGCCATATAGTGGTTTTAACACTATAGGGTCAGGGGTACATGTTTGTGTTCCTAACCCTATAGTGCTCCTTAAAAGAGGGCATGATTGCTTTTTTTTCAAATCTGCTCAATCTTCTGAACATCTGATACTCTATTTACAGAAACAGTGTTCCTGTTGGATTCAAGGAGTTTGAGATATGGTTCTGTGAACCATGAAGTTCGTTGGGTTCCTCAGGAATCTCCTGGTTATTAAACTCTGATCATTCCTTTAAACCAGTTATGAATTTAAGTTATTGGTTCCTCTCTTGAGCTTCAGAATCAAAGCTTCTGCAGACAGGAATTTCATGGTGTATATAGATGAGATATTCCCACATATCCCTATTGCTGTCCCTCAAAATGATTTAATTGCTCTTCAAAACACTCCCTTAAAAGCATATTTTAGGGAATGAGGTATTTCCTACTTGGGAGTTTGGCTACTTATTGCTAATCTGGACAGTTGCCCTTTAAGTATGTTCAGGTAGCTAGCAGAGCGCTACAGAGACTACAAAGGACCACTATAGTCACCCAGACCACTTCATCTCAGGCAATGCTTTCCTATGGGTGCGCGGCTCCACTCGGGAGCTGATGTCAGAAGGGAGGAGATGTTACCAGCGCTGTATTAAGGCAAGTGCCCAGCAGGACCTAAGGACTCCTTTAAAGGCATAATGAGAATTGACTTGTATTCTGATTTTTCCATTAAAAATTAGTTTTACTGACCCCCCCCCTCCCCCCTCCCCCCTCCCCCTACTACCAGAAAACACTACCTTCTAGTGTTTTTGTAAGCAGATTGTGTCTTGAATATATTCAAGTAATCTGGGAGAACTAACAGTACATCAATAGATAATGTGACCTACTGAAATTTGTTTTTAAGCATATTGGTTAACTGATGGAAGACAGTATGGATGATATACTGTTAGGGTGACACCATGACCACTTTCATTATTTGAAGTCATTATGGTGCTTGGAGTCAAAGTTACACCATGATATGCAACACAGCTTAGTCCTTTTGCTTCCAGGTGTACAGCAGCAGTGTTATTTGAGAATCGTTCATGCTCTCCGCTAATGAATGGCCAACAGGTTCACCTGCCTGTTACGAGCCTCACTTGGTGGAACCCAGTTAAGAGGTAGTTAGGCACATCAGGTAACTGCATCAGTACTCTTAAACAGTAAAGCCTACTCAAACCAGTCTTCAAAAGTATATGTGTTCAGTGGGTCCTAGTCCTGAAATGAATATTTGTTACTTCCTAAAAAGACTAATCACAATATTGAATGCAAAATAAGCTAGAAAGTCTCCACACGTACGCAACTGTTCCGTATGTTAATTCATTAAAATTTGTGATTCTCAAACCAGCTTACAGCTTGTATGAGTGGTTCCAAATCAAATATCAATTTGCTAGAACATGGGTCCTCAAACTCCAGCCCCTACATGTTGCTGAACTACAACCCCCATGATTCTCTGGCAATCTATGTAATTCAGCAACATCTGGGGGCCAGAGTTTGAGGACCCATGTGCTAGACTAACTGAAAGAGTCTGGCAGGGATATAGACATCCAGGAAAGCATCAGTAGCAGTTTTGATAAAACCTTGACGACGGTGTGGGAATTGTTTAGCATTCATTTTATATGTGGTTATATGTACCAAAATTTAAATAAATCACTGTAGCTTACAGTTCTAGTATATAGAACAGGCTCACTGCTCAATACTCTGACATTTAGGAGTCAAGTCACTTTGTTTATGCAGCCCTAGTCACACCTGTACCAACTGCAGTTTTTGATTTTCTTTGATGTGACTGTTCGTTTAGACCTTATATCATTTAATTGATATTGCCACACAGTGGGGTCCTTCCAGGCTCTAACAGACTAACAGATACATGATACACATGGCAATAAAACCTTTCAGATTTACAGGAAATTTGTATTGACCAATCTATACATGAAGACCATTCCTTTACACTAGAGTTGTTTTGGAGTGTCCTTTTTAGTTTGGAACAGACTTCATAGTAGAGATTAGCAAATCAAAAAAACTGTACTCATTAGGTATCAAATAGTTATAATTTACAAGAAATAAAAATTAAAAAATGCATGCCTCATCACAAGTACAGGAGAGGTTACACAATGTAAACACATTTCTAATAAGTTGTAACTTGCTTTAGAAGGTAAATGTGCCAGTGGCACTCAAGGAGACAATTAGAGACATTTATATTTTGTAATATTGTCATGATAGAAATTTAATTGTGTCATTTCAAAGTGTAAACAGACAGTGGCAAGTAACAAGATAAGTCTATAAGTTTAGTGAAGAAGCTTTGCCCTGTCAGTTGATGCTGGGACAAGTATTCATTAGCTGAAGTGTGTTGTTTATTTTACCCATCCACTCTTGACAAATACAGTTGAGATTTTTGGGGGGAGGAGGGGGCTGGGGAAGGGAGGGAGAGAAGATACATGTAAAAAATAAAAAATAAACTTAAGCCAATAGCAACAGACTGAAACAAGTTACTCAAAGTTTGTTTTATTTCAAAAGCTAGGATAGCTTCAATATCCATGTTATGGTGAATCCGAACACATGTAAAATACCTTACAATACATTAGATTCCAAAAGGTACCAAAAAGTACAGTAAAATTAACACTTCCAATACTGGAAATGTATGACACAAAACAATACAAAATAAAAAGGTGGAAAAGTGACACTGGTTCCCTAGGATGAGTCATTCTGTACAACTGGAGTAATAGAGTCCATACTTAACTCCAAGAGGCAGTCCCTAGATGCAGAGCTGCAGCTTTAAGCAGACCCCAAAATCAGTTCAGTTTTTACCTATTGATAAAACCATTTATTAATCTCTTGCATAGCTAGGATTCACACATACAAAAAGAAACAGATCCAATTAAAAACACTGAGCCATTAGGATTACTGTACAGTGAGACATGCCATACAATTGGTAGAAATTTATGTTTGGTATGTAATGTCCAGAGTTTACAAAAGCCACAATTTTTGTTTTCCAGAAACTGCATGCCACAGCATACCTGAAATACGCAATGTTCAATATGGCTTGTAGTTATTCTGGTGACCGCCACGCCTTGGAGCCTTTCCATAGTTAGCACTTCCCTGACCTGCAGACAAATGGATATTAAGTTTCTGGAACTTTTAAGCTCCTATTAGAGCACATTTAGAAATTACTTACTGTAGTCATAGCCTGGTCCATATCCATAATAGCCATATCCAGTGTAGTCGTAATTTCCGTATCCACCATAGCCTCCTTGCTGACCATAGCCGTATCCCCCTTGGTTCCCATAGCCCTGGTTCCAATAGTTGTTGTAACCTTGATTCCAGTTTTGACTTTGTGCTGTAATAGTCAAAGTGTTGATTTAGCAGTGGTTGAATAAGACTACACCTTCCCCCAGCCGCCCTTATTTTTTGTGACTGTCTTGACAAACTTAAAGGTACACCAGATTTGCCATATTAAGGGAAGACTTTCTGATCCTTGGAACTCAAGATTTGTATACAGATAATACATTAAATGATCATGAACACTGATATATTAATGTTAGAGCTCTTCCGACAGCTTCCACAGTGACGTCTATAGAAAATGTATGTCTTAAAAGTGAACCACAAACATACCTTTTCCACCTCCTCTACCTCTTCCACCACCAAATCCTCCTCGGCCACCATACTGTTGCTGGTAAACTTCTTTTGGCTGTGCTATTTTTATTTCACACTGCAAATGTACAAAAAATATATGTATTGTCCATATTAAACATAAGGAAAAGAATGGTTCTGAAAAAAGTAGATTGCACAATTATGTTTTACAGTGATAGTCATTAAGATAATTATAAGCATTATGACATGCTCACAAAAATGATACAAGATATCAGTCAAACAAGCTACAATATTAAAACGAACACTATAGTGTTAGTAATAGAAACCTATAACACTAGTGTCCTCTGTGACAAGAGGGTTGTGCTTGACACGTGTCAAGTCTACAAATAAGTTAACACTATTTTGTTTAATACAAATGCATGAGAGTGCCAGAACAAACCCAATGTTGCCATTAGTAGGAAATCTACAGCTTAAGCACATAGCTTTAGGCTAAAAACAAAGCCACCATTTTAAGACCCTCTAATAATTGAAGGTTTGCCCACTTCATACAGCTGTATACAAGCAATACCAAGTATTCTATATTTCAGATCTCAAGATCTGTAAGGATTTAGATACATACAAAATTAGTGGACTAGAAAAAGCTAAGAGCACTAGATTAAGGTTTGATGTGTCTTGAGACTAGCCTGTAAAATTGATATACCCAATACAGCTTCATACAGAAACTTGTAATTTTGTTATGTATCCAAAAATAAGTAACCTGAGAGAGACAAGAGTGCCCATTACAGCGTTCTTACCTTGCTACCACTGACGTTATGGAATTTTTTTTCCAAGATTGTTTTCACAGGATCCTCTTCTTTAAATGTGATGAAAACAAAGCCTCTCCTCTTGTTTGTTTTTGGATCCATTGGAAGTTCAACAGCTTCAATCTGTGGAATAGATTGTCATTTATAACAAGTTACATGAATGCCTCACAAAAGTAAAAATCTGAACACATAATAGGGCTTTACATATGTCAGTGACTACATATGTAAAAATAGGTTGTCAATACAGCAAAAAAATAGTTTATCTGAGTGCTTTTGTAGATTACATTTTTTCAATAATACAGTCAGCACTTGATAGGTTAACCACTAAACGTTTATCTCTGCACTTTGGTATATAATACCATTAACCCATCAAGTATTGACATTGGTACAAAATGTCTACAACCCTTATTGAAGGGTTTGTCAGTTTCCATTTTATTTGAGTGTTGGATTCTTTGTGCTTTTCCTTTAAAAAAAAAGCAGACCAGAATCACTACAGTCTTCAGAGAAAAGGTAACGATTAAACTGTTGTAGACCTCTCTTGCAGTAGGTTTGCTTCCTATAATAGGCCTGCAGTCTTTACAGGACATGCAGATATTTTCTCTGCAAGAAACCCCCAAACACTAGAAGTTTTGCTAATGTAGCTCTATGATGAGCATCTAACGTTTTATGGAGGACACCTAAAATCTAACTAGACAAGATAACAGTAAAGTTATATATATTTTTTAACGTTAAGTTCTCTTTTAATATTTAAGGTGTTCAAGCGCACCAGCTTCAGGTATAAAAATGTGATGTTTCACCATCATCGTAGGAAAATTACTTCTGAGTGCAGCGTTGAACCATATGCATGAGCCCAAAATGAGACTTCTATTAAACCATTTACAACCTAGTATACACAACTGTTAGTTTTGTTTTTTTAAATAAGATATTGGAGATGAGACAATAACTGACAGCTGTAGACATTGTATACGTACAACATCCATCAACATTGCTGATGTACATATCAGGACTCTAGACCTTTTGGAATACATCTCCCACAATGCTTTGCCAGCCTTATTAGCTGTAAGAGCATTAACGGAGATTTAGCCCACATTTGAGTACCGAATGTTGAAGCTAACCTGCACTTAACATACACAAACATCCATTAAGATTAAAGTAGAATTTTGAAGTTAGGTGTTCATACCTCACCAAAGGTTCCAAAATATTCCCTTATTTTATCTTCGCCTGCCTCTGGGTTGAGCCCACCAACAAATATTTTTTTAACTGGGTCTTTCTTCATGGCCATTGCCTTCTTGGGATCAATAAGTCTCCCATCAAGCCTGTGTTCCTTTTGTTCCAATACCTGTAAAAAGAGTTGATACCATAAGTAATTGTGTTACACAGTTTTGATGTACCAGGAATAGTCAAGTTACGCACCTTGTCAACACTTGCGGCGTCTTTAAATAGTATAAATCCAAACCCCCTAGATCGTCCAGTATTAGGGTCCATCTTGATTGTACAGTCTGATACTTCACCAAACTTAGAAAAGTAGTCTTTTAAGTCTTTTTTGCTTGTATCCCAACTCAAGCCACCAACAAACATTTTCCTAAAGCCCAAGGAAAACAATACAAGCCATGTTAGGAGTATCTAAACACAGATTGCATTAAAACATTGTGATTGTAATCCTCAGAAACCCAAATCGAGTTATTAAAGGCCTATGCAATATATGGTAGTCAATAAACAGAGGAATGAAAAAAAAAAAGCCAAGACAACACAAAAACCCCAAAGCCAATAAAACCAGAGTACAATCAGGAATCACAACAACACTAGAACCAAATTACCTTAGATGCATATTCAACCTAGTATTTGCAAGAAAATTTTATAAAAATAGTACAATGAAAAAAAAATGCATTTGAATACAGAGACGATGACCAAATGAGAAGCATTCCAGCAATATATTAATATTTAATTAGATTTAAAAAAAACAAAAAAAAAAACAATTGTGTTAGCAGCTAAAGCATAAGATCTCCCATTTACAATAAAAAAAACTAGAGCAAAAGTTCACACCACAGAATAGGAAAACCTCCCCCCATCACCACATGGCGCCAACAAAGGGTTACCAGAACAAAGGATATAGGCGATCATTGGGACTAGTCGCCCCCCCACCCCCCAATAGCATACACAATACATGAAATAAGATAAATGTAAAAAAGAAAATATAACTTACACTTCTTTAGTTAAAGGGGAAGAAATATCAGGTACGCACCCTGCGTCCTCCTCGCCTTTGCTGGCATTGATCTGATCACCTTCAGCGCCGTTCTGGTCTTCAGCCGCGGCGGCCTCGTTTACCTCGGCAGCTTCGGCCTCGCCAGCTTCATGGCCGTTCTCTGTGGTCTCCATGTACTGCTGCTCAGTATCAGACATTGCGAGAGTGGTTTGGATCGCTCCTGGAGGGGGAGGCAGACAGACAGTGTGAATACATGGGGGGACGGAGAGCTGCAGGCAGCGCGGCCTAGAGACCGGCGGGGAGCTAGGCCTTACATACAACGCGAGCAACTAACGTAGGCTCCCCCGCCGCCGAACACACACACACACACACACACCCTGCGAGCAGGCCGCCTACCGAGCCGGCAAATCGGACACCGATAGTAAATACCGAAACCGGCGATAATGCGGCTAAAAATAAAAAAAAATAAAAACGCGCGTACGGCCTCTGCCACAAACACTGTATACAAAAATCAATCAGCTACACATGACTAACAGTATACCGATACATAGCGCTCTGTACACAATCTAATTAACCGGCAATGATCGGATTAGCTACTCGATGCTTACACTGGCTCCTACGAACGTTAAATTCTTCCAAGATGGACTCTCCCAACAATGGCAACTCGTGGCTAGCTTTATAGAGCCGAATAGGAGCACTGTGGAACAAGACGGATTCCGATTGGCTGTCTGCGCACGTCTATTATATAGATGCAGCTGCGCTATTGGCTGTTTTATTCTGAAGCTGGGAGGCGGGGCCAGGATGGCCGGAAATCTCGCGGGAGCTGAGTTTGAACACCTCCCCCTAACGGCCACCATCTCTCTTATGTAATTTAACGTTTGTTGCGGCCGACTAGCTAGTATGTTAATAGCACGGCCGGAGACAACGGGCCGCCTCGGTTACTAACTCATAAAGAATATGACAATAAAGCAATAAAGCATTGTGTATCCGGTGCCAGAGCTATACAAATACCAGCGGCGGCTGCTGGGTTTGTAAAATGGCTGTCACCAAATACTGCAGTGATAGCAGCGAGCGGTGGACGGCTTACTGTGAGCTATGGCGGGGCAGGAGAGTAATAACCGAGCGCGGTCAGCCCCTATTAAACATGGACTCCTGTAAAATGCCAGGCTCGATTCACATACAGGGCTATTCACATAGCACCCAGGTGTAAATAACCCTTTTACTAAATAAAAAAAGAGGGTTTAATTTAGGAGCTTGTATGTTTGTCCCCCACCAAAAGAGGAATTGGGTACCTTTTTTATTTTAATTATTTTTTAACTTTTTTCTTAAGTCAACAATATAATTGTTTCGAGCTTGTTTAAAAATTAATGTAGTATTGGGAATTGATCAAAGGAATTTCTAAGACAAAATAGACCGATTAAAAAAAACCCTCCCCAAATCCATTGTGTTTAAAGCTTAGCTTTTTTGACCAACATTTGCAACCTCCTGCTCTATTCCGTTCAATTGCCAATTTTGTGATTTACTCAGTGTGTGTGTACATATACAGTTAAATGTGGTTTGAAATGTATTCTGCATATTTATTAAATGCCATTTGGATGCTCTTTTTAGGGTTGGTCCTGAATGTGTAGATTAGCTATAGACCATTAACATATATGGGAACACTTAACATGCAGCAAATTGCATATGAATGTTTCACTTTACAGGCAGATGGGGGGATTTCAGTTCAGATGCTTTTTATATGCAAATGACCACCTGCTCAATACCCTATTCCATGCTCTGGGTCTTGGCAATGGCAAAGAAAATGCCATGGTCTACTGAACCCCTAGAGGTCATCCAGAGAATGGCCTGGAGTGGCCCCACACGCTTATTAGTGAGGTGCCATATACTAACAAACATTACACTTGTGCACACATGCTTTTCAATAGGTATGAACAAATCAAATTAATTTTAATCTTTATCCGAACAAATATTTCCATCAGAGAGTAGATTAAAAGGAATTTGATTAGTGTGTACTAGTTTAAAAGGATTAATGCACAAATCTAGCAGACATTACCATGGATAAGCAATGCTAACCAGGTGAGCATCCCCACTGTGCTACAAGTGAGAAGTTATTAACAAGTAGAACAGGTTTTTAAAAACAATACTAATAGGAAAGACTGCATGCCTTACACTACTTGGAGGTTTCAGGTGGGCTATATCAGTCTTTTCTGTTTGATTAAAATTGCATATCAGGTATGTTTTGTACTTATAAGTGTTTGTACTGGGTCATATTCATTTAAGAACATATGGTCCATATGCAAATAGAATAAGAGTTAAAGGAACACTATAGTCATCAAAACCAGAACAGCTTAACCCTACAGGCTTTTCAATGCAAACACTGCCTTTTCATAGAAAAGGCAGTGTTCATTGGTGCCTAATAACACCTCTAGTGGCAGTCAATCAGACGGTAGGTAGAGGTGCTTCATAGTCCAGTGCTGCACAGTGCACAGACACTTACATCCCACATAGGAGATGATGATTGGTGCAGCACAGCATTTTTGAATTGGCTGAGATTATCAAGATTGATGAAAAGCGAGTAAAATCAACATTCAAGTGAGATCGAAATGTGGCTGGTAAGCTAAACAGCCATACCTGCAGTATAGTGTTAGGAATACATGTTTGACAATACAGTCATTTGAAACAAACAAGACCAATGGAGTTGTGTAGTAAGGACCTATATATGGGGATAACCTAAAATTGAGAGAAAACAAAAAATAAATAAATCACTAATACGCCCAAATGGGAGCAATACATAAATAAATCCCTACCTTTAATTGATATTTGATACAAGCTTTATTTGAGGACATACAGCAACAACAAAAAATAAATCAGAGCAGTAGATGTAGGAGGCTGACTTACTATAGTGTTAAACACTTTAATTTGCATTGGATATACAGAAAGAGTGCTGCTTTTTAAATAAAAGTAAATACAAAAATACCCCTAAATAACTTGTGGGATTAAGTATCATAATCGGAAAAATGAAAGCAATGTTTAGGCGATATATTGCAAAATAATTGTATACCTAAAATGGTGTCTATCTTTAAGACTCAGTTACGTCTTACTAAATTAGGCAATAGCGTCTTACCACTGGGGTTTCTCTATGTGAGATGACCGAATGCTCTATTATCCATTTTTTTAAACTGACAGAAACTCTTCCCTACATGTTTCATGCCACAAAATCAGGTAAAAAGATTGATTATCCCAGTGGTGTTATAGTTGAAGACATTTCTTACATTGGACTTGTCTTGTCCTTGGCTATCAGAGATGATTTTAAAGTACTTCTGGATGAGTTTTCCATGCAACACACCTCCCACAATGATAAGTACCAACATATGCATCCAGTCACCTCACATAGCGATACGCAGTGGCAACACATTTTAAGGCATATCAATAAGAATTCTCGAAGTATGTGCAGACACAGAGTGAGACACAACCAAGGCCAAAGAGGGGGTGGCCTTGACCTAACCTTGAAATGCAGAGAGTGTTATTGGATTCATAGGTTAAGAACCCTGTCACTTTTGGGCCTCTATGAATGGTTTATGTTTACTCCATTATAGTTTGTCATTGATTTTATTTTCCCATTTTATTAAAGGGACACTATAGTCACCAAAACAACTTTAGCTTAATGAAGCAGTTTGTGTATAGATCATGCCTCTGAAGTAAGACTTGCTCAAGTCTCTGCTGTGACTGACAGAGTCTGCACTAAAACAAAATGGTTTCATTTTCAAATCAGATACTAACTTACTTTAGAATTGTATCTCCTGCTCTGTAAATTGAACTTTAATCACACACAGAAGGCTCCTGCAAGATCTAGCTAGCTATTAATAGTGCAGGAGATACATTCTAAATTAAATGGACTGTGCAATTAGTTAGGTAATTTTCTGTTATAATATTTACACTTAAGGGTAGGTAAAACCCAACCTCAGGGAATGAGCCGGGTTACAGAGGTAAGAGAGAGCATAGCCCTTGGAACCAGGTAATAAAAATAACTAATGAGGATGGTTATCTTCAAACTAAGGAAGCCAGCCCCACTGAATTTACCTCTTAAGTAAAGACCAATATAAGGTAATACACTTTATTGAGAAAAAATATATAGATATAATAATAATACACACCAAAAAATAGTGTTAGTGCAACCAAAAAGAATAAAGTGATCAAAATAAATGTATGCGTTAAAATATTGCTAAACTTGTACCATAAATTTACACTATAACTGAATGCTCCATGAGATACAAATGTAGCAACTCAGTACAGATGATTAGACTGATATATTACAAATGTAACAGACTGGGTTCTAAAATATCCTACGTGAGTTGTATATAGAATAAACTGTATATTTCACATTGGATAGTTATGGAGCTGAGTACATAGAATAGTGTTTAGGATAGGTCTGAAATCGCAATATATAGGCATATTTAGGCTAAGCTCAGTAGAAATGTATGTACATATCGTGTAGTGCTGGCTTCTTAAGTCTAAATGGCCAGTAAATACCCACTAGAGGACAAAGTCTAATATTTAGCTAGATTTTGTTTTAATCTAGATTCAAGGTAACCAAAATTCGGGTAATCTAAAAACTGTCTAATTTTACTAATCTCGTCATCCAGACTTACATTGGTCTGATTAAGTTTGTCTTGTTCAAATTTACAAATTATTTCCATAAACCTCTTTGAGCATGCTCCAGCCACAGACTCTACATTTTTGGAGTAAGAGGAAGGGATATTACGCACCCTGAGTCATTTCTTTTTTAATATAGTTTTCCAGAGAGGAGATTTCTAATAGGTACCTAATTACCATCTGCCCTTGCCAGTGTTCCTCGGGTGTTATCCCATCACTTCTGCACATTTGTTTGGACTATTCTCCATATAGAGATACTCCTTTCTAGTAGCAGTGGATATAAGTTTGACAGCACTAATAACTTTCCTACTTTGTCCTCTTGTGGCTATTTACTGGAAAGGAGTTTGTCTTTTCCTTATATGACTTTAATCCCCCCACTTTTCGTGGCCGTTTAGACTTAAGAAGCCAGCACTACACGATATGTACATACATTTCTACTGAGCTTAGCCTATATACGCCTGTATATTGTGATTTCAGACCTGTCCTAAACACTATTCGCTGTACTGAGCTCCATAGATAACTATCCATATGAAATGCACATTTTATTCTATATACAACTCACTTTCAGAAATATTTTAGAACCCAGTCTGTTACATGTGTGATATATCTGTCTAATCATATGTACTGAGTTGCTACATTTGTATCTCATGGAGCATTCAGTTATAGTGTAAATTTATGGTACAACTTTAGCAATATTTTAACTCATACATTTATTTTAATCACTTTATTCTTTTTGGTTGCACTAACACCATTTTGGTGTGTATTATTTTATCTATATTTTTTCTCTATAAAGTTTGTTACCTTATATTGAGCTATACTTACCATCCTCATTTGTTATTTTTATTAAGTGAAAATATTAGATCTCACTTTATAGGTGTGACTAGAGCTGCATAAACAAAGTGATTTAACTCCTAAACAGCAGGCAATTGAGTAGTGAGACTACAGGGTCATGATCTGTACACCCAAACTGCTTTATTAAGCTAAAGTTTTTTGGTGACTGTAGTGTTCCTTTAACGGTTTAATATATCATAGTATGAGAACGCGTAAGTAGTTAGGCATGACATCAACTTATTCACCCTATTTTTCCTTGCACTTTTGTTTAGGCACTGTATTCAATTTTGAAAGAGCCTTACCAGCCAATATTTAATATTTTTTAAGGCATATAATCACAAATGGCCAATAGAGGGGGCCTTATTATTAGTCC